ACAGAAACACGGATCATGACAGTCAGGAACATTCAGGACAACAATACCCCAATTCAGTTCTACAATGATTTTAAAAATTAAATCATATATGGTAAAAACACAAAACCTTCCAAATATCTTTGTCTAGTTTCTAGAGCAATTACTTTAGCATCATTTGAACTAAGATGCACTGGATGAAATCAATTTGATGAGGAAAAGTTTATTCACGAGGGAGTTGGACTTGGAAGGAATGACTTGTGATCATGTGTGTCCAGTGTTCAGGTCCAGATTTAGGATCTTGGCAGACAGCCATGACGACAGTGACTCTGGGACGGGTTCAACAAACGAAGAGAAGCACAACAGTCCAAGGAAAGATGGAGGAACGTCTCCTGAACAGGATGAGGAGGGAGGTAACCAAGGAAATGTGGAGCCATGCTTGGATGAAGACGGCGACCTTGACGTCACACATCGGTATGAAGGATAAAACAACCCAGTAAGCGTTAAAATGTTGGTTTTGTGATTAAGAAAGTCAACTTAGAATTCTTGTTTTACAAAGTTCTGGAGAACAGACATCATTCTTGGATGTTTCTTGGTCATGTCCAAAGATTTGTGCAGGGAAATAAATGTTTTTTAATGACGTTTTATTGTTTGCTTTTATACAGTCGGGAAAATAAGTATTTGAACACCCTGCAACTTTGCAAATTCTCCCACTTTGAAATCATGGAGGGTTCCGAAATTTCATTTTTGGTGGATGTCTACTGTGATAATAATCTAAAAAGTATATATATTCGGAAATCACTTATTTGCAGCAGCAACACACAAATAAAAAAATAAAAAAAAATCATACATTGTGGTTTCCGGATTTAAATTTTTTATTTTATTTTTTTAGAATTTTTTGATTTCTGTTTCTCCACAAGTGTTTGGAGAACAAATGCCACGGGTTCGAAAATATAACTGGGCAAATTCAGGTGAACCTGCAAGTTAAAAGTCAAAGGAAACACCCAAACAGAAGAGGAACATTAGGACACTGTACAGATGGGCAGATTTACAACATAAGAAAGAAATAAGACTGCATAGTTATTAAAAATAGTTTACAGTTGATCAAAAGAAATGTACAACCAAGTAGGACAATTAAGAAAAGTATAAAATATTTTTATTTGTGCATAGAAAGTCGGGATGTAAATATTTACAAGGTTTGTTGGGAGCAGTAATGGAGGAAGGATCTACTATAACACTCCTTTGTGCATGTCTGATGCAGCACATATTCCACCATATTCCAATAAACTGCTGGTTCTATGGGTCATGCTGTTTCCTAAAGAAGTTCCTGGAGCTGAGTCTAAGGTTCTGCACCAGGTGGAACAGGCGGGTGTCCGAAATATAACAGATGTGAAGGATAACCGGTCAAAGCTCCAGAAAGCCACAGACTTTTCTTAAACATACACAGCAGTGTACTGGTCCAGTCACCAGTACAAAGGTTCCATGTACAATTGGAGTGGAAGATCGGTCATTGGTGACCACAGTAGAACATAATAAAGTGCAGACAAACTTGTTCTTGTTAAAGTTTTTGACTACTTTGTTTCCATGTTACTTAAACACATCAGTGGAATTGGAGAAGTATTTAAAGACTGACAGGAGAAGAACTGGAGTCCTTCAGCTGTTCTAAATAGATCTAGTTATGCTTTATGTTTATGTTTATGTTAATGTTATAAAATCATTTTGAAATGGAACAGAGAGTCTCAGAATGGAGGATCTTCCTGAGTACCTCATTGATCTTGTTCAAGTTATGCATATTAAAGGTTAAATATGTATAATTATGACATGCTTGGTACAGTCTTTGGTATGACCACACACACATTTCTATTCCTTTGATTCACAGACCACGAAAAAGCTCAGTGGATGAAGATGGCAGAGATTTGGTCTGTCCCATCATCCTCCAGCAGTCTGTTCCTGACCTGGATCAAGATGAGGACAGTGATGATGATGATGATGATGATGAAGAGACTTGTTGTTCTAAAGACATTATACAGATTGGTAAGACTGAATTTATACAGTTTCAACCAAATGTGTGATGTGGTGTATTGATGTGTGTGAATGTGTTTTTGTTTGTTATTCCTGTAGCTTAACGTGATAGATATCAAATATTAAAAGATTTCAAAAGAAAATGTGAATTTCAGAAAATAACCAGGAGGGAAAGAAGCAGCTTTATTTACTGAGTTTGAAACTGTTTGTATCCTAAAGATGCTTTGAACGAAGTAACTTGTTTTTCCATGGAGTAGACTTTGATTTTTTTAAGGGTGTAACAAGATCGCTCAATATTAAAATGGCACAATATCTAAAAGAAATCCACCTGGAAAAACGCTAACTAGCTGCTGTTAGCATGGGGCTTTGGTGGAATAATACAGAATGTTAGCTGCTAACAATGCTAACATTGGCTTTTGATCATTTCCAGAAGCAGTTCTACTCTGAACAGAGTATTTACTCAGTTTGACATTCATGAATCTCTTTTTACTCGATTTGTGAAAACACAACATGGGAAGCTTTACTCTTCACAAATATTGCTTGAAGCGTATTTTGATGTTGTGAACTCAATATTAAATATCATCTTTCCTCATGTTGGATGTATTCTTACATCCCTTCCACTTTCTGCCTTCTATGCTACTACATAGCTCTTTTTTTATTGAAGTCAAAAGCAAAGTGTGTAAAACCCCATGGACATCTCATATGTTACAGACACTTAGATCTTGGACTGGAAGCATATTTTTTAACGCATTATGAGTTTGGGTAATGTAATGTCTACGGACTGTTTTAATGTTTGTTGGCTTTTCCATGTGTCAGAAATTCCCAGTTCAAAATTAATTATAGGTTAAGACATTACAGACGTTGGCATCATAATGACAGAAGAGTAAGGAAAATAACATCCGATCGTCATTGCAATGTTGAACAACAGTTTTGCTTTTGCTTGATTTTCTAATACTTGAACTCCACAAACAAGCAGGAAAATCATCAAACAAAAACATGGCATTAGGAATTTCTCACAGTGGCTGAGCTCAGGTGAAAGCTGGAAATGATGGAAGAGCAGAACTGAACAGGAAATCCATTCTGAAGGCAAATTATGTTCTGTTCTGAACACCAAATTCAGACTTCACTGCTTTACACAACAGTCACACAGGATAAAAGTTGTAATAGCAAGCTAGTCTGACTTTGAGTTCATAAAGTGAAGATTTATGTTATGTATCTGTTGAGGTACATAGAATGCTTCAGTCGCTGTTTTACTCATGAACTGCTCCGTTAAACCAAAAGTTTCAATTATTTCATTAACTTTAGATCTTTAGTATGCTTTATTATTTAAATGTATTCATGTTAACAGTCTGAAGACCAGACAGCACAAATGACTAAATACTGTCTTATACAGAACACACTATGGCTACACCATTAGAAGACGTTGGCAAACAGGTGAGTAGTTTCCATCCTTGTGTGGCAATGATATGTCACTGACTCCACACTCTTTATTTATTAAAGTATGTAACATTCATAAAAAAATTTACATATTAGTTTAAATTGTCACTATGTTGCCACAGTTTGTCATGAGACAGACAATCTGTGAGAAGATGGAACTCCTCTGTCTCCTCCTAGTGCTAACTAGAAACAACCAATCAGAGTGAGGAGGCGGGTCTTAGCGCTGTCAGTCACCATCTGTGAATTCTAAGCATAGCCACCAATGATGGCAGATAAATGGTTTTCCTAGTAAGTTGTTTCTCTGCACATTGAACAGTTGATTGACATCATCTGTTCCCTCCTCCTGGCTCTGATTGGTTGTTTTTGGTTGGTGCATTTCTTCAGACGGTAATAGCACCTCAGGGAAGAGGTGGAGGAGATGGAGCTTTTCACAGATTATCTGTCTCATAACATTCTGTCATGACATGGTCACAGTTTTAACAAATATGTAATATATATATATATATATATATATATATATATATATATATATATATATATATATATATATATATATATATATTTAGAAAAGTTACATACTGCAGTATTAAACAGAAATTAAGCTAAAGTGAAAAAGCTACTTGTGTATAAACTAAGTACACCCTTGAATTGGCAGCCAGGTGCTATCGGATATTGCTACCTGTGTGTTGTGTGTCTAAAGGACATTGTTCTAGAATTCTTGTGCTTCGTTCAGATTCAGCTCTGTGGCTCTAAGCTCTGCTGCCATATTGTTTCTAGACTTAAGAGGTCGTCTCATGGCAAACCATTCAAACAACAAGACTCATTCTAATTCAACACTTAACCTGTCTGGGCCTGTGGCCTCATGGAGTCCCTGGATTTTTTTTGTTATTTCTCTGAGGATTTTTGTTTCTGGCTATGAGGTGAATTTGCTGGCCTGAGTGAAATTGGTCCTCCCATGTTCATTTTTAAGATTTTAATAAGGAGATAATCAAAGGTCAACCACCCCATCACATTTTCTAAAACAAACAAAGCTGGTCTTAAAGGGGCAGTATTATGTGTTTTCCAGGCACTTCCATTTTATAGTACAATTTAGTAACTATGTTACCTTCAGTTGTTATAAAAATGCTGGATATATCAAATATGACTTAAAAGAAATTTGACTTTGTAATTTAATGCCTTGAAATTGGGCCTTTGTCTCTTTAAAACTTCCTACTCATTCTGACGCTCCGCCTTCAGGAAGTCATCACAATGTGGCTCCTCTATTAACACCTTAACAATGTTTTTGCAAGCTTTGCTCTGAGAAGTAGCTCCTGTAATGAGCTGAGCAGATGCTCATTTCCACCAGGTGTTTGCTAATTACTGCTGGCTAGTCTGAAGGAGCTGAGTGGAGGAGTTACGGGACAGAGCTGCTCTGAGAGGCAATAGCTTGGAAACTTCAGCTCTGAGGAGGAGCTGTGCCTCAAAGGCAGGGCCAGATCCAACCAGGCGTTTTGCACAGCTGAATGGTTGCCATGGAGATTAAAGGATTTCTCAAACATTAAATGAAAGAATCAAGGCAATACTGCGGGTATATTTTTGACGAGGGAATAACATTATAACATGATGAAAAGCTCAGACAAGTTTAACTTGTCTGAGCTTAAAGTTTGATCCAAAATGACAAATAAAACATGTAAGTCAGGTGACAGACGACCTCCTGACCTTTCTGGAAATGTTGTTTTTGTCATACTGAACAGTGAGTTGGGTGGAGGGTGGGATGGAGCTGATGTTTCATGTCCTTTGGGTTGACCCAGGTCTGGCGGGGGGCCCTCCTGCTGGCTGACTTCATCCTCTCTGAGAAAGACACTTTCAGAGGGGCCACCGTCCTGGAGCTGGGAGCAGGGACAGGCTTAACCAGCATCATCATGGCAACCACGGCCAAAACGGTCTACTGCACAGGTATGAGGCCATTAGGCAGGGCTGCTCAGTAATGGTGGGAAAAATCATTGTGTTGAGCAAAGTCACTGATTGAATGTGTAAACTTGTTTGTATTTAAAAGCTGGAGGTGCATTCCAGGTTATCTTTACTCTCTTAGTCGCTTCTCCTCAATAAGTTAAATCAGATGGAAAGTGTAAGAAAACATGTTGTAGTCTGTGTGCTCTGATGCTGAATGTGTTTTCCAGATGTGGGTGAAGACCTCCTGAGGTTGTGCCACAGAAACGTATTTCTGAATCAACACATGACGGACCCAGCAGGTCAGAGGACGGGAGCATTCATCTGTCACTTTTCTCTTTTAAAGTCGAGCGCATAGTTTTATGTTGTTGCCAAAATGATAGATGTATTCATATTATAGTTAGAAAATATTTAAACAAAAGCTAGTTGCACAGATCATGTATGTCAGTACAGTTCCACTGACAACTGATTTGTGTTGCATTGTGTTTGAGATGTGTGACTGATGGGAGCGAATCGGGGTCTAATTAACTGCTGCACCTACTTTCTTTCTTTCCTCACATGGTAGACGTTCTGCCTCTTACTCTCTTAGTAGATTAATACAACTTTATATCATTCATTCTCATTTAGTTTTTGACTGAGGCGAAATTTCAGGTTGGGTCTGCGTTGGGATCCATCTATATATCTATAAACTCTAACGACTTTTCGTTGAAGTTTTATGTCAATTAGAAAATGTTTAATCTGAAAAAAAAAAAAAAAAATGTTTACATGTTCAATACTTTACTTTACCCACATAGTAAAATCCAAGTTTTGGTCCATTAAAAACAAACAAACAAAAAAAAACTAAACAGAACTCTGTCATGTATTCATTTTGGACCATTTAAGCTTATAAACTGACTGCGAAGCTTCTGATATTTTGGATCATCCATGCAGGAGGCCACCTGCAGGATGAGAAGTTGGTTTTGACTGACATTTGGCTTTGCAACTTTATTTTGAAGGGATTCGAGGAAAATAAAAAATAAAAATCTAAAATGTCAAACTCAAGGGAGTCAGGATTGCAACATGTCAAATAGAGCAGTGGTTCTGGTCCTCGGTTCTGATTCAGATCCGTCTCTGGTTCCTCAGCTGCAGTTCATGTCCTGCTTCCTGTGGCAGCAGAGGAACACCTAAAACCTGCTGGATGGACAGTAGACGTAGTTTATTGGAGCTGTGTTTTAACTGTTGTCTGAGAAGATGTTAAATTTGACCTCAAACCCTACTACTCTCATCTGCCTTAGCTTAGCGTCTTCATCTTTGCCAGCAGCAGGTTACATTCATCTATTTTTTCCACCCATCAGGTGGGGAGGTGAAGGTAAAACAACTCAACTGGCTTCAGCACAGTCTTTGCACAGGTAACACCTTTCTGCTTCTTCTCTTAGATATTAAGCATATTAGTCAGTTCATAACCTATATCTTAATGTCAAACAGTGTTGAAGTTACTGGACAGACTTTTTGCACAAATGATCAAATTCTACATGCAGCTTTGGAAAAATTGAAGAGACCACTGCACTGAACCCCAATGAAAACCTGGTTATTCCACCAAATATTGATTTCTGAACTCTTCTTGAGTTCAAACATTAGTATTGTTGTTTCTAAATGAACATGAACTTGTTTTTTTGCATTATTTGAGATCTGAAAGCTCTGCATCTTTTGACGTTATTTTGATAATTTCTCATTTCTTGCAAATAAATACTATGTTTTTGCTTGGAATTTCCGAGACGTGTTGTCAGTAGTTCATAGAATAAAAGAACAACATTCATTTTACTCAAACATATAACTATAAAGAGTAAAATCAGAGAACTGATCATTTTAAGTGGTTCTCTTCATTTTTCCCAGAGCTGTACATGTAGCTTCTTATCTGGAGTTCATCATCCATTAACCCACCAGCTGATGATGTCACTGGTCTGCTTACTTCAGACCAGTGACATCATAGATACTTTAATCATATCTATCCACCAACTCCACCAATCACCTGCTCTTCCTGCTCTTCCTCTCTGCTTGTGTAGATGCTGATCTGGAGTTTAGCTGGACTGAAGAGGAAGTCGCTGATCTTTATGACAACACCAACTTCATTATTGCAGCTGACGGTAGGTTTGCAGTTCTAATGAAAATAAAATCAACTTTCCATTTCTTTGTCCATTTTGTTGTTCGTTTGAACCGAGTACATTGTACAGGCATGATGAGTCCAGTGACTGGATGGTAGGTGCAGTTATCATGAGGTGTATTCACTAGATGTACATGAATTGCAAAAGGTTTATTCGGTAAAAAATAAAACTTTAAATCTGTGTTTTCCTCTACCCACTCATTTTCAGACCAGGAAGTGGTGCATGACGGTCAAGTTCAAGTTTATTTTTTTAAATGGGACAATACATATACACAAACATTTACATGTAAATACATGAGATTATAGCCAGGTGGATAATTTCCATCTCTAGTCCCATTGGCAGGTTGATTTTAAAGCACAATAATAAATACAGGGTTAAAAAATTCAAAATAACACAACAGAATGAGAAATACTCAAGACAACAATCCTGACAAGAAGTCATTAGTCATGTCTAATATGTTTTCATTTGCTTCCATGTTTTATTCTAAGAGAAATGATTTTTTTATGTTTGTCACCATTGAAGCTGCACAGAACATCAGACTGAACTAATGTTTCCATATTTGTGTCTCCAGTTTGCTATGACAACGATCTGACAGACGGCCTCTTCAGGACTCTGTACCGGCTCTGCAGCAGCTTTATTCACTCCTGCACAGTTTTCATTTCTTTAGAGAAAAGGTAAAGAAAAAACTGTCTATCACTGTATGTTCACTTAAACTGACAGTTCAGACTGGCAGCTTTGTAGAGTTGCGCCTCAAAATGCGTGACATTTTAACTGCAGTAAAAGGAGGCGCTAAAGAGTTAGTCTCAGTCTTAGGCCACCCTTCAGACTTTAATTATAGTAAAATTTTAAAACTTTGAATCATTTTTCTTCCATTTCACATTTATGCACTGCTTTTAATTTCCATCACAAAAGATTCCAACAAAATATGCTGAAATTTGATTCAGTTTAAATGAGTTTAGTGCCATCTTGCTACAAATATTGTCTCAAAGTCGAGTACACACACTTCAGTTTGATCAAGTTCAGTTTATTATCCAGATTAGTTTATGTCTGAGGAAACCCAGCAGCTTGCATAAAGTCAACAGCTTGCAGCCTTCACTCCTCCAACAATCACTTGACTTTACAACAATTAAACCAGGAATTTACACTTTATAAAAAGACACATGCATTTTTTTTCACAGTCTGACATGAAATCAGAATGAACTTTTCCCGTTTTAGATCAGTTAGGATTACCAACAATGAAACTTCCCTTAAAGTAATTCCCTCTCATATTATTCTGGCATTAGCAAATATAAAACATTTTGATAATCCTAACTGACCTCAAACAGGAAAAGTTTATTCTGTTTTCACATCAGACTGTGAAAAAAATACAGTTGTGTCTTTTTATATTGTGTATGTAAACTTCTGGTTTTAACTGTAGTTTCTGCTTTTAAAACCTGTAGGAGCCAAAGACAACAACTTCTGTCTTGTTTGAATTTAAAAGGAAAATATTTAAATTATTATATGTGACTCATATCATCAGGATTTATGGATAAATATGAATATCATCAGCATTAGAGAGGAATCCCATGCTCTATGATTATTATACTATTTTGAAGCATATATGGTAAAGAGAATGGTCCAAGCGCAGAGCCCTGTGGTACTCCAGGATTTGCCATAATTCTCTTCCCTCCTCTGTCTTACAGGATGAACTTCAGTCTGCGCCACATGGACATTTGCTGTGAGGCCTACAATCATTTTAAGCACTGTCTGTCCCAGCTGCAGGACATAGAGGATGGCCGGTGCAGATTCAAAGTGGAACATGTTCCTTTAAACTTCTCACAGTTTCTTCTATATGAACGTATTGAGCAGCTGGTGAGAAAAAACTTTACACCCACAGTTTCATCCGCACTGATTTTCTGAATTTAACCCGTCTCTCTCCTATAAGAAGCTACAGCTGCCACTAACTATCCTATACTGTTTTCATCCTGTACATTGTACTACATGCTCAGTTTATCTGTGTTTCTCTGCTAGATGAAACCACTACAGCTGCTAATGCTGCCATTAGCTCTTTGTTTTTTCCTTAACATTGACAGTACTTCTGGATCCAGTTTTCTCTGTTTTTGTGTGAATCCATCCATTTTTTTTTTTAAATATGGATGTTTTTTTTTTTCAGAGCAGTATTTTTAACTCGGAACGACAGTAGTTCTGAATTTGTGCTGTATAAACAAACTGCTCTGAACTGGATTAATATGGATATATTTAGCTGTTATTGGAAAATACTTTCTTTGTATTACAGCGTCTTTTATGCAGTGAAACTAGACATTTAGGAGACAAACTTACAAAGATGTATTAGGGCCATTTTAGATATAGAAATAAAGAGTACATTTCAGCCAAAAAAAAAATCTCATACATTTTCTAGAAAAATGTTTGAACAGATGAAAAATATCTGAAATTTGAGATTAACCTTAGAAATTTTTGAGCTTCAAAAGTTAATTTCTGAGTTTTTGGCAGAAATTAACTTTTTCCTCTCTTAAAAATCCAGTGGCCGTCGCACTGGATTTTAAGTAACCCTTCTTGTTTTTGCAGGAGCTGTGGAAGATCACTGCCTCTCCTCTTGAATCTGAACAAACCCAGTCTGACTCTGACTGAGGAGGCTCCCAGAGATCAGCTCTGTGGACGCTGACCACAGACTGCCTGCTGGACGCCCCAAAAATCTACTGTTACTGATCTGTGAATGCACCATTGGTGACCAGAGGCCTTTGTTTGGTGTGAGGCTGTTCAGCCAAACAACAATCTGTTTCTGATAAGAATGTTACGTTGGTTGATGCTGTAGGTTGTGTGAATCCTCATCTGTCTGCCAAAGTGGAGGAGGCTGATGGATCCTGTTTGTCTGACCAGCTTCCACCATGTTGAGATTTCTTTTTTCTACAAACTTCATGATGAGACATCTGTCTGCTGCTCAGAGGATGTACAGTTGGTAACAATCCCTTTATGCTCATTGATTCTAACAGAATCTCCCCCAAACTAATCAGATCTCCAGTGACCTTGTTGGTGACATCAGCTGTTGTAGTTTTTATTAGCTGAGCTTCTCATTCTGTTCACACAGGTACTTTGGGAATATGGCTCAACTGTTCAACAATGTGAAATAGAAAAATAACTATTAATATTTAAAGTAAAGAGTATTTGGGAGACTAGGATGTTTGAATCCAAGAAAGCTGAAAAGGAGTTAATAAAAGTTTTTGTTGGTTATGGAACTCACCATGAATATTTAATTGTAAATGAAGTTGGGGGGGGGGGGAACAAATATATATATATATATAAAATTTGTGTAATGAAGCTGTAGAATGAGTTTCACTTTATGAAATACATGACAAAAAATATTTTAATTTACAGAGCGGTACCTGTAACTTAACAGTAACCCCATCACTCTGCAGTGTGTGGCGACTCCGACTTCTTCACATGGAATATTTAGGAATTTTACAGAGGAAGGACCAGAAATGAAACACATCAAGAGAGACACAGAGTATTCATTCTTAATTTATTAACAAAACGTAGGTCTCAGTATTTCACAAAGGAAAATAAATAGCTGTAAACCTGCTACATACTTTAGAATTAACTTTTTTTTTTTTTAAACTAGAGTCCTGACAGTGAGAGCTGAGCAGAGGAGACGGAGGCGGTCCACCAGCATCACTACGTTTCTGTTCCAAGTTATTAAAACACATTCAGAAAAAACATGTGGCTTGGAATCCATTCAGTCGGCTATGACTTCTTCATCAGGCATGTTCAAGCTTCACTAAGCAGGACGAAGAGGAATGAAAGGTGGATTCACCTCCAGTGTGTGGGTTGAACAGGTTATAATGCAGGAAAGAACTGAAGGACTCCTGATTCCAGAACCTGGGAGTTTTAAAAGCAGATCTCCACTTACTGAGAGTTTAAGTTGCTCTGTTTTCATCAGAGGGGAACGGCGGCCATGTTGGACCCTCTCCATGCATCACTTCATGATAAATCACAGTAGGAAAAGCTGCTTTTTAACTTCACATGTCAACTTCATTTCACCCTTCCAAACCTTTCCCAGTCAGGAATGGATCTAATGTCCTGCGCTCCTAATAGGCTCCGCCCGGTGTTGGATGGATGGGTGGGGCTTTAGTGGCGGCGGGTGGTGTGTGCTCTGCAGTTTGAAAGAAGTACAGCTGGAAAGGAAGAAAATGAGAATTTTCAGCAGTTTGTTGTGAATCAATAGCTGTTTCCATTACAAATGTGTGCAAATCTATTCTGCTAATGTAAAAAGTAAAAAAAAATAAATAAATAAATTGCAGTGTTTCCATTAAATAACAAATGACATTAAAATTACATGTAAATAAGCTTGTTCACACAATAAGTCATTAAGAATCATGTCAGCGACAGATGTCAGCAGTTGCATGAGATGTATTCATAGTTCAGCCATGGTGCTAGAGCTCATCATCTTTCAGCCAATCAGAGGAGACGTCTGCATTTTATTCAGGCATTGGAGTGACAAGCCCCGCCTACTGGGGAGAGACTACTATGTCGTTTGTGGCGTATTGGGGAAACTGTAGTCTGTGATTTTAACTATGGATTCTACATGTTGGAATGACACACAGCTTTTTATGAACTGTGATGCTATGAAGCTTGAGTGGGGCCAGCTGCACATTGTCTGAAAAAACTAACCAAGCCATCATCCTGATATCCCTTCCTGTCATCTTTTTCGTCATTTTCATCTGGCTGTTGATCATGTGACTTATTTGATGCAAAAAAGTGTTTCCATTGCAGTTTGACAAAATACATCCATTTAGATATGGCTGAAAAAAAAGACTCATCCCATCACAAAAACCATCAAAAAACGTGAGTTTTTCAAAATAGGCATATTTCCATTAAGCACATTTATTTTTGCAATTTCAATTTGCGCCATTTTATGGTTAACGGAAACGCAGCTAGTGAGACCCCCTGGACCCATCACTCCCCCACCGAGCTCATCTACCTTACAGCCGATGGCCAGCAGAGTGTGTAACACCACGATGGTCACCACTGTGGCCACTGCTGTTACTCTGGTGTCGTCCCGGACAACGGGCCAGAAGGTGAGGACCAGGACGGAGCCAGAGATCACCATGGCAACAACGATAAGCGTCCACCGCAGCCACTCGTATGATATGATCCACAGGATCTGGAGGTGATGAGATGTGAGGCGTTATGACCAGCAGCTGGACCAGCTGTCCTCTGGTCAAAACTCAGAGTTTAGACATGAGTCCAGTTCCAAAGTTATTCAGACAAAATCAGATTCATGTTCATTACAACCACTGACTTTCTTGTGTTTTACAAAGAAATACAAATCTCTTGCAACCGTGAAGATAAAAGATATTACACCCTTTTAGAATAAATGTTTTACACATAAAATTCTGAAAAGTGTGGCATGCTCTCTTTACTGTGACACCCCAGAATAAAACCCATCACATCCAGCTGCCTTTAGAGGAACTTAATTAGTAAAAAGTCCATCAGGTGGAGAGTCTGTTGTCAGGACAACCTTCAGAATTAACTCCACTCATCTGGTTTTTCACAACAACGGAGATCAGGAAGCCAGACAGCCTCCAGGTTGACGTGAAAACAGCTTTGATCAACTGAACCTTCTGAAAACTAACACTGCACACCATCCTGAACACACCATCCTCACATGGTGGTGGTAGCATCATGCTGTGGGGATGACTGCCTTTCTCAGGACTGGGTTGGAGGTTCATATCCAGCCAGAATAGTTTAGATCAAAGCACTTTCAGGTGTTAGAATGGCATAGTTAAAGTAAGTCTAATTGGGATTTTTTTCTAGAAAAAATTAGAACTAAATATTTCAGATATCCTTGATCCAATCTGACTGAACTTGTAGATGTCCAAAGCTGGTAGAAACAGACCCAGATCACCTGCTGGTTCTACAGTTTACTCAGAAAAATGCATGCCACACTTTTCAGATTTTTATTTGGGGAAATTTTTTTTTGGCCCACTGTGAAAATTGCTGTAGCACACACTAAAAGCTGCTGTTAAGAGAAACCCGAAGCAGATTCAGCAGCATTCACTCACTGATGTCGGGATGTAGATGAAGAGCGAGTATCCATAGACGCACACCGTCTCCAGGAAGGAGTAACCTCCGACCTGCCGCTCGGCGCCCTGTCTCCAGGTCAAGAATGCCCACAGACCGATCGGCACCAGCCAGGCGTACAGGAAGATCACCACCGCAGCTATGGTAACTGCAGCCAAACAGATCACAGTGAGCACTGAGTGGGGGACCCCGGGGAGGTCATGGGGTTAGAGACTGACCCCTGTGGAACTGCGGCCTGTAGTGATAACTGGGGTCGCCGAGCGAACTGAGGAAAGTGGACAAGTTCCCACTGATGGCCACCGAGAACACCAGGGTCACACAGATCCAAAACGGCCCTGTACAACACACACACAAACAAACAAACAAACACATATACTCATAACAGATCATTTATACTGTCCTCTGATCTCTCCATACTTCATAATATTCTCGAAGACGAGAGACATTTCTGTGCATCGTCCAGTTAAACATGTCTCATTTGTAGCTGCAAATGTCACATAAGTAATTGAATAAAAATAACTTATGTTTTTGGAATAAATGTTCACTTTAGAAAAATTTTCTTTTTATCAACATCTCTATGAGATGTTGATAATTGTGGAAACTTTTGTAAAAGTATTACTGGAACTTTTAGTGTCACTGAGGAAATTCAATGTAATTATTTCTTAAAACAATGACAAAACAAATAGCTAAAATATTAATTTGTTAATATATTGATATTTAAAAACATTAGTTAGTTCTTTATCATTTTTATTCAGAGTTATTAGGAGTCTTTTTGGAAGGTGTAAACCTCTGAGTGGAACCTGAGCAGCATGTGTTCGGAGGTGAGCTGGCAAACTCACCATACAGGTCTGGGTTATTCCTCAGGTAGTGCTTGACAAAGTTTCTTCCTGGTAGCGGCATCAGAGAGCCCTTAACTCTGTCCAACACCTGCGTCATGATGGGAGGGGCAGGGGGGAACCAAGGCAAACATTAGCATTAGCCTCCTATCAGACTCTTGCTGTGTTCAGAAGGTATTTAGAGACAGGGTGTGGGGTGTGTTTGTTAGTTAGCTCCTACCTGCACTGTGTCCACATTAAATAAAGACTGATAGTATTCAAAAGTCCAGAAGCCACCAGCTGATTTCTGTCCTCCTAAAAGCTGAAAACACAGAACGGCAGTCAGCTGCTGTCCAGTCCAAACACCCAGAGGTCACTCTGTGTTTCAGTAACTTAAAGGAAATGACCTCTGAACTCTCCTCCTGAGCCGCCTCATCCTCAGACAGGTCTAGTTTTACATCCTCCCCAGCTGCAGGAGCTCCGGCTGTGGTTGTGGGGTCGTTGGAAGCAGACATACTGAGTGTGGGGGCCCCTGGGTCAGCAGACAGGAGATCTGCTGCTTCCTCAAACTCTACATATAAAGAAGGACAAGAGCTGTTGAAGACCACATTGAGTATCATTAAAAAATCCCAATGAAATACTGTAAAGGTCTGGTTTTAATGTGGGAGTACTGAAGGGTTTGTTTGTTTTGTAGACAGGAAAGTGGTGATTTTTTTATATCAATGTGCACTGTACTATTTAATCGGAACCAAACAGCTGTTCCTACAGTAAAACATTTATTACCAAGAAGAACTGTTACAAGAACAAACAAAAACAACAAACTCTTACGTTTTATGCTAAGTTGATATTTTTTAAAACCAAACCTAAAACTGTTTGTCTAACATCCTGTCCATTGGTTCTCAAAAGCGATCCTCCAATCTCACCAGCAGATGTCGCCATTTACATAACATAACCCTATTCTGCCAAACAGTGGACAGGTTTGACAAACAGATGGTGATAATAAATGTAATATATTGTTTCTCATTTCAATTCTATATGTTCATTAGCTTTCTTAACTGTAAGGCTGAAAAACATGCTGGAGGAGAAACAGACAGAAAGCGGCCATATTTACCCTGGAACTGCAGGTCATTTGGAGTGGCCATCGCTCGTTTAGACGAGACAAAGCAACTTCATGCAGAACCTAAAAGAAGGAGCAAAGAGAAAGTATTCTAAATGACAGGTCTCACATTTAAGATAGATAAACTAATTTCAGTAACAACAGGAATAAAATAAATCATTTTACATCACCGCTAAAAGCTAAAGCTTATAAAATGAAATAAACCAACAAAGACACAGCTCGTCAAACGAGCTAGACTAACCGCTCTGCAGCAGCTCACCTTCGCATTAAAATGTTTCTCCTCAGGAGGGAAGCGTCTTTCTAGGCTCAGCAGTCCCGGGGGAGGGTTCATAAAACCTGCAGCACCGCTAGTCTTCACACAGGTCTACAGCCGCTGCTGTCAGACAGGAGCTCTTCCGGTACACGTCACCACGTAAACAAAGCCGTCACGTGAACACAATTTTAAAATAATTTATTTTTAAACAGCAGAACATGTATTTCTAGTATCTCAAAACATATACCTAATTGTGTATGTATGCAGAAAGGTATTTTTCTCTTTCTTTCCCTTTTCATTCAAGCGGAACCTTTCTGACACTGCTACTTGCTGACGGAAGACCAAAACTGGGGCACCCGGTCCGCGCCATTTTGGTTCCATGTGAGCTCGCGGCTACTTGCAGTGCTGGCTGTGGGTGAAGGTGACCGTGTTGAGTGAAAATGGCCTCAATGCGGACAGCCAGGAGGATGTTCTGTGCTGCGGCTCAAGCAGCGGCTACCCCGGCTCCCAGCAGCCGCTGGGAGAGGCTGAAGAGGAGCAAGGCGGGTAGGGAACGAGCTGACCGAGAGAAGTCAGCTGAGGTTCAGGCCACCATTATTCTAGATTGCTATGGGAAGCAGAATAGGTTGTCCGATTTATTGTCGGAATGAATATTATAGGAAACTACTAAACAGAAAACAGAAGAGAGAAAATAACTGTTATTGTGCTAAAGAAGCGCAGACTGGAAGAGGCATTCAGTCAGCAGGGCTGTCTCTCTGGATGCAGCTAATTGCTGCAAACTGTAGATCAGCTGGTTTATTTTGAAATGTTTAATGTAACATAATGATTTAATATCGCGACTAAATTGACTGCATATAACCACAGGACCACTTTATTCGATATACTTGTTTAATTGCTTAACAGTAATAGCAGATTAATCAGGTGGTGCATCTCAATGCAGGCATCTAGATATGATAAATATCTTGCTGAAGTTCAAAGCTTTATTCTAGTGAATAATTTGTTCATCCATCCTAAAGCTTCTCCATCCATTCTACGATTCAACGATTTGTCCGTCCGGTCTTCCTGGCAGTCTGTACTTTTAGCAGGTTCCATATTTATAGTCGGACAAGACAGTGGTGCCAGTTGCAGCAAGGAGGTCTTGCTGCAACTGGCACCAGGGTTTGGTCTCCCCTTCCAGGTACTCCAGCTTCCTCCCATAACCCATAAACATGACCGTTAGGTTACTAGGTTTCTCTCAATTGTCTTTAGGTGTGTGTGTGTGTGTGTGTGTGTGTGTGTGTGTGTGTGTGTGTGTGTGTGTCCGTCCGTCCGTCCGTGCGTGCGCGGGCGCCTGGTTGTTGTGATTTGCTGGCAGCCTATCCAGGATGTCTCCTGCCTCTACTCCAATGACTATTGCAGCATGCAGCAGCGTGTATAGAGGATGGACGTTTAAAGTCTTAACTCCAAAAATGAATGGGGCATTTTGAAACGTGCCTGAAGTTTTTACTTTGGACATTGGCAGTATCTCCCCCCACCAACACCTCTCCCCCCAAAGAAAAAGACTAAAAACGTGTTTCTTTGATATGGCAGAAACAAGTCAGTAATGAACTGATTCTGTTCAACTAAACCTTAGGTTGTATCTGAAAACTGAGTCAGTAAGATGACTGTAAGTTGTGTCATTTTGTGGAGGAATAAGGCATGATGTCACTCAGAGCACAAAGCATAGAATTAGACTGAACAAATCTGTCCTTGTGGATCAGGTACATTGTCACGGATACCCGGTCTAGAATCTTTTTCCAATATCGGGACCGACAGATGTTAATGTGTCAGTCCCAATATGTCAGCTGACTTCTGCAGTGATGATTATCTATGAAGTTTAGAACAGACAGATGAGAGGTGACAACCCTCCCTGATGAATATTTTGCCTTAACTGCTGTCTTTCGTTAAAAAGAGTGCGCTGAGTCAAACTGTATCATTGTGATTGGTTTATTCAGGATCACCAAACTTCCAGCCTGGGCATCATCATAACAATCAGCGTCACCTAGACTACCTGAGCCTGGCGCTCTTTTGTGATGTCATCACAGGTGGCCATTTGTAGTTTGTATCCATGCGTAACATTAACACTGCAACTGTGTCTTCTTCTGTTGTCTCCAGGTGTGTGGTGTGGCAGCCTGCTGTCCGACTATAAGGAAGCGTTCAGGGAGATGGTTGTTGGCGCTTGGGAGCGGCCGCTAAAGTCCTCTGTGTACTTGTCTCTGCTGGGCGGGGCCTATGTCTGTTTTCACACCAAACCTGACCAGTCATCTTTTGAGGCCGCCTTGCTGGAGCGCTCCAACCAGCTGAGCCTTCTGTCACCGTGGATACGCAACGGCATCTCTGACGGCCACGTTCAAAGCCTGGTGAAGCTTCGTAACGAAGGCCGACTCCGCTACGCCAGCCTGGGACTCCTCAGTGTGGTGTACCGTGCCGACTACGACCCAGACGCCACACTGTACGAAGCCCGCTGCTCCAACCTGTCGGTGCCCTGGAGGGAGCTTCCTCAGCGGGTGCTGGACGTCGGCTTCACTGGGTGCTGGTGGATGCTGGACTCAAAGATGAAGGACTACGACATCAACAACGATGAGTACAAACACCTTCCGGCACACCTGCAGACAACCACACCACCCAGCCCACAGCAGGTGGAGAGGAACGAGAGGTTACACAGGGATTCCTGGTTGCCGCTGACGATGGAGGACAAGGAGGAAGAAAGAAAACCTGTGGACAAAATGGAAAATGTCAGTGAACAGAGTCAGATAAAACTGTGAGACATTTAATCTGTGAACTCTGTGCTTTTATTCTCAGTGTTGGGTCAGTATCATGAAAGAGAAACATCTTCGGTTCAGAGAGTCCTTAGTTTGTTTTTTCACACTAAGTGTTGGTGAATGTTTTATACAATGTCAATCAGTCGGCCATCTTTGAACTAATGGAATCTGTTTACCATGCTAAGCCATCACAGGTGTCAACCTTGTTCCTGGTCTCTTTGGAAAAGAAAAACACCTAAAACGTCCACAGGTGAGACACACAGAGCCTGTGGTTTAATAATTTATTCTGATTAAAGGAAATCTAAAATACAGCAGCTCAAGCTCAGTTTTTTTCATATACTATCAATGCTTTCCAGAATTTCCTTCAAGAATTTGCAATGATGGGAAATTAGTTTTACATCACTCTGGCTAAACTTCATTTTACTCTCCTTTGTCATTCAGCCAGACTGGACAGTTTCCTGGAATGGATGGTCTATTTAAGGTCGTGGCAATTGTCTTTTCTGGTTTGAAGAAATCTTATAGATTTATATCTGGTCTAAAAGCCAATGATTTGTAAATGTTCAACTGACATCTGCTTATAGCTGAGATTGATAAAACTCTTATGCCTGTAAAAGTTTTGAAAAATGTCCTATATCCTCCCTCTTCACAGTTGTGCATTACTTTGTGTTAGTCTGTCATAAAATCCCACTAGAATACAGAGGAGGCTAATTCCAATGTGAACAAGTTTAGTGAATTCTTCTGTGAGACAGAGTAGCTGCATGTCAGATACTAGATTACTAGCCAAAGGATGATGAAGACTTGAAATTAATTTTGGTTCTTAGGAGTTTTTCATTTCCATAACATCAGCAAGATGAGTTGAGGTGAGATTGGATCTCAGTCCCTCAATGTGAACAGAGTGTGATCTCTCATCCTTCACTGGGCCAGGAAGTGTAGGTTATTGGTCCACAGTGATCCATGATGCTGGTGATAAATCATTAGCAAAGGATGCCGAATGTCATGTGAAGAAATTTACAAGTCAAGAGTCTAGGTTCTGGTTTCCATCCAGCCAGGCTTCTGTTCCGTTTGTATCCAAGCCATGGTAATGGTAGCTCTTACCCACCAGGTGGTGCTGTAGTGCAAAAGAATAGTTAGCCTGATTCCTGTCAAATTGGAACAGTTTTACTGTCTGTTCTATAAAGAGTTGGAACTGGACACATAAAGAATGACTCAACATCAGCACATTGAAATGAGTCTTAAAAAGAAACACAAACAATGCAAAGTCCAGAAAAGTAAAGATTTCACTCAGATTTCCTTAAAGGATCAATAAATATGAACAGTTTTCATATCCATTAGAAACTCCTGAAGGAGCCTAAAGTGGATAATGACCCTCTAGAGATGTGATGGCTGCAGCATTCAGTTTAACTCTAATTCCTCTATTAAACATCGATGGGGACGATTCATCCAGGAAGGATTCTGTTGGGGGTTTGTGGATTTATTTCTCTAGTGTAGTATGTCTTTTATGTCCTTGCATCTCTCAGAATTCCCCTTCCCAATATTTCCTTGATCTCATGTAAAATGAAAATACTCAGGAAAAAGACACATGTTCCAGTCCATGTGTCAAACATAGAGGACATGTGACTGGATGGAAGGAGATCAGCGTTTACTGCTGACATCACCAACTGGCAGAAGGACTTCTGAATCGGTCTGAATCTCTGTCTACTCACATCACCTGCACGTCACCAATGAGCCGAAGCGCTCTTCAGAAGGTTCCTGGTAGCTGCTCAGGGTAAACGGATGAAACATTCCGTCCTGTCAGATGACCTCACCCCTTAATGAGAGTGACTCTCGCTTCCTGAACTTTAATGAAAGCCAAAAAGAGTCTGAAACAAGAAGCAAGTGTGGCAAACAGTTAAGCATCTCCATATAAGACTCCAGTGAGTCACTTATTGTCTTCTACTAAGATTTAAATAACAGATACTTTAGATCATTTTTATATGTCTTATTTCTCAATCTACTGGCCCCTAATGGACCCTACTGGCCCCTCCTCCACTCAGACAGGGAGCCGGGTTCAGTGAGGGCAGTCACTGTCAGGTGCTGTTGGAGAAATATGCAGTTTTTTCTTTTTTTTTAGTA